TACATCTTAATTTTGACTTCTTTTTTTGTGAAAATTTGAGTTTACGTCTCACAGTTCAAACTTTTTTCTTGAAATTTTAAGTTTACATCTTGCAATTCTGACGTTTTTTTTTTCTTGAAATTTTAAGTTTACATCTTGCAATGCTGACTTTTTTTTCATAGAGATTTCGAGTTTACGTCTTGTAATTTTAACTTTATTTTCATGGAATTTGCAATACTGACTTTTTTCTTGAAATGTTGAGTTTATATCACGCAATTCTAATTTTTCCTTGGAAATCGGACTTTTATTTATTTATGTATTTTTTTCCCTCAGAATTTCAAGTTTATGTCTCGCAATTCTGACTTCTTTTCTTGTAATTTCGAGTTTACATTTTGCAATTTTGACTTCTTTTTTTTTATTATAGAATTTACATCTCTCAATTCTGATATTTTAAAAGGAAGTTTGCATGTTTTGATTAAAACTTTTTTCTGTTTATTACATCTTGCAATTCTGACTTGTCTCCCTCTGAATTCTGTGTGCACATCTTGAATTTCATCTTGCAAAAGTTACTTCTGTCTTTGAGTTTGTATTATGTTTCTGAATTTGTTGTAAGGAATTCCAGGTTCACATCTCACAATTCAAACTTCTTTAAGACACTTTTTTCATAATTCCGAGTTTAAGTGAAGTTTATTCATAAACTAATTTCGAGAGGATCACGTGCTTATGATTTATCACGGCCAGTCTCGCATTTGCTAATCACTAATCTTCCAATCATATGAGCCCTAAGCCACTATAAATAGCCTCAGTTTTCAGTTCACTTTATCTTCGTTTGGAAGAAACCCCCCTCCTCCCCTATTCTCCTCCTTTACCTGTGATTGGGCGGCACGGCGGTCCAGTGGTTAGCACTGCGAGCCACTCAGCAAGAATACTGCCAGCCCTAGTTCCATAGGACCGGTGGGTGTTTCTGTGGGGAGTTTGTATGCCCTCCCCGTGTCCGCGTGGGTTTTCCCCGGGTTCTCCGGTTTCCTCCCACCATCCAAAGACATTCAACATACATAACAATCAAGCTTGTCTAATCCCTTACGTTCCCTTAGCTACAGCAGCAGGGGAGTTCTGAGATCCACCGAGCTCGGGCTCCCTTCTTGCTCTGCCAACGGGAGGAAGCCCCAGGCTCGAGGAGCCCTTGAGCTCGGGGCTCTCTCCCGGGACAGCATGCCAAATAAGCTTTGTAAATCATCAGCTAAGTGTGAACTCTTGAAATCTTACATTTTTGACAATTTTTGTTCCCCACTGAATCTGATCTTAAATCACTTTGTTTTCTCAAAATTGCCATCTAAAATTTTTGACTTACATTTAAGGTAAACATTCATTCATTCATTTTCCTTATTTATCAGTGGTATGAAACTATATGTTTTACACAGCGGAGGCCCATCCAGCTGCAATCCAGTAATGGAAAATACCCATACACACTCCTTCACACACTACAGCCAATTTAGTTTATTCAATTCCCCCATAGCGCATGTGTTTGGCCTGTGGGGGAAAGCGGAGCACCCGAAGGAAACCCACGCCAACATGGGGAGAACATGCAAACTCCACACAGAAATGCCAACTGGCCCTGCCAAGATTCGAACCAGCGACCTTCTTGCTGTGAGGTGACAGTGCTAACCACTGAGCCATCGTGCTGCCCCATATAAGGTAAATATAAATATATTAATTGTCAGTTTGCAGTTGCACATTTACATTTACTTTGCTCAGCAATGACTAACTTCAGCTCCACTGTGCAAATACTCAAGTTTCTAAAGAATAAAGCTGAAGTTTGATCTTGACCAGAACATATGTCTGAAAGTCTGCTATACCCTTTTATAGAAATGCAGATAACACAAACATCCCCATAGAGACTTCTGATTGGAAAACGTCCAGGAATTGAGTGTAATAATGCTGATGATGTTCCTCTGATTCAGCCCATAATGCCGTTGTGTCTGTAATGTGGTCTCAGACAGGGAACTGCCCCAGATTTAATCAGATTGCGTCAGTTTCTCTGATACTCGAGTCTAATTGTCAGGTGTGGTCCAGCATCGGTTTGCACGTTCTGGCTCACGCTGCACCTTTCCATCATGCATCACTTCCAGACAGAAGACGCTGGCATTGATAACAAGCTTTCAATGCTGACGTAAACCAGACCAGGATGCTTGGAAAATGACGTCGGTGGGGTTGTAAAGTACAGCTTAAACTTGCTTATTCAAATATTTGGGGTGGCATTAATGGCAATATGCATTTGATGAACAACGCTAAATTTAAATAGTAATTGTATTGTTCAAACAAAAAAAGTAATGTTGTTGTAGGTTCAGAAGGTTTATAATATATTTAATTATAATAATTTTATAATCTTAAATCATACAAAATTATGTCTTTTATGTCAGTTTTATGTCACTTTAACTTGTTTTGTTCATTTTCAGCCTCAGAATGGTCATTAAGTTTAAGAAAAACAAGAAATCTTGTGTCTGCCACATGAAAAAATAATTTAAGTTTATATGCTACAATTTCTTTGCTTTTTGTTATAGTATAAACTTACAAATCTAAGAAGAAAATCTAATATGTCGCATCTACCAAGTACTAAACATGCAATTTTGACTTTATCTGAACATTTTTAATGATGTTAATTGTGATATAAATCTAAATATATCTGAGATTTTTTTCTCTCTGACCTTTTTTCATTATTCTGAGAGGTAAAAGAATTGGAATTTACTCAATTTGCACTTTTTAGTTAGTAGGTTGGTGGATTTTCTTTCCTGGATTAAATATAATGCTTTGACCATTTGGTTCGTTCCAATTCAATTTATACATGCAGAATATTTACACTACCTGACAAAAGTCTTGTCGCCTACCGGAGTTTTAGGAATAACAACTAATAACTTGACTTCTAGTTGATTATTTGGTATGAGAAGTGGCTTATATGAAAGGCAAAGGCCTCTAGATTACGCTTATTTTACCACAAGATAATATGATCATGCCTTAATTTTTAATTATTTAATTAGGACTGTAAGGTCTGACTTTGCTTAGACAAAAGTCTTGTCACTTAACAGAAATAATATCCAGTATAGAATATAAAGTCATGCTGCAGTGGAGACAGATACTGTGTCTGACTCCATCATGAGCTTGAAGGACTGCATCCACACATCTCTGCAGTGACTCAAATCACTGATTAATAAAGTCATCTGGAATGGCAAAGAAAGCGTTCTTGCAGGATTCCCAGACAGGGTTCACACACATTTAAATTACAAAAAAAATCAATGACTTTTTCAGGACTTTTAAGTAAATTTTTATGATGAATGTTTCATGTAATGTCTACGTATACGTGGGAAATCATATGAATAACAAAGAACGTTTACATTTATTACAGCATATCATAAAACATGCTACAATCTCTTTAGTTATATTTTATAGTTATATATATAGTTATATATCTTTAGAGCATATTTTTGGCCAAAAAAAAGAAGTAAAAACATCTAACCTCCATTCCAGTTTACAGATATTTGTCAAACTAATTTTAGACAATGTTAATAGTTTGTTAAACTAGTAATAGTAGGTAAAACTACTTCTATTGTAAAGCTGCGATCACATTGCACTTTAGCTCCATAGACTTCCATTCATTGGCATGCGAATGTGGCAGACCAGAAACGGAAGCATGTGTGACAGGTTTGGCATTTCACTGGAAAGTTCAAGCTTTGTGAATACATACCTGTGAAATCGCATCAAGTGATTGCGCTAGACAGACAGAAGATAATTTAAAATAAAACATTTAAAATATGGAGCAATCGCTCACTTTGATTAACGTCTAATATTGTTTAATACCAGCCCTTTTACAGCGCCATAAAATAGAATTTTGCAAGCACAAGCTCTAGTGTGACAAAAAGGTCTGCTTAATGATTAAATGTAAATGTAATTTCCATGTCTTTTCCAAAACCTTGTGGGTTTTTCTGTTTTTCCAAAACTTTTCCTGGCCTGGAAAATGACAAAATTCCATGACTTTTCCAGGTTTTCCATGACCGAATGAACCCTTCCAGAGTTCATCAAGACTCATGTATTCATCTTCAACGCCTCCTCCTTCATCTTACCCCAGACATGCTCAATAATATTCATGTCTGGAGACTGGGCTGGCCAATCCTAGAGCACCTTGGCCTTCTTTGCTTTCAGGTGCTTTGATGTGGAGGCTGAAGTATTCGCCCTCTCCTGTGGTTTGTAATGTAATGGGCAGCACAAATGTCTTGATACCTCAGGTTGTTGATGTTGCCATCCACTTTCTCACACACCTCCATACTGAATGTAACCCCAAACCATGATTTTTCCGTCACCAAACTTGACTGATTTCTGTTCGAATCTTAGGTCCATGCAGGTTCCAGTAGGTCTTCTGCAGTATTTGTGATGATTGGGATGCAGTTCAACAGATGATTCATCAGAATTCATTCCTTCTGCCACTTTTCCAAATGTATACACTACTAATATTACTGTTTTATATGTTTGTTTTTCTTAAACGAATTCCTTTCCTTCGACAATCTTACCACTTTTTTTATGGTTATTCTTTTTTTTTTCTACATGAAAATTTTTGAAATTTAAAAACGGTCTTAACTTTTTATTAAGTGACCATAATATGCGTGCCTAATATGAATTCTGAGTAAATCCTTTTCAGCTGAGCCATTTCTTAAAGACAGCATGATTTATATTTCTGCAAAGCATTCCTCTGGTTTTTCTGAGGGCGAGCTGTTCTGCAGCGGAAGAGGCTTTCCTAAAGCGGCCCTGTCTGGTTCTGTTGTGATAAATGAGCAGATTTGGCAGCTCTGCGCACTTGGACTCCATTAAACGTCATCAGCATTGTGACTGAGCTCTGGCCGAGGAGGGACGTGAGGATCTCGACTCCCTCAACCTCTGTCACAGATCCCGCTGGCGCGTGTCCACGTCTGAGAGACACTATTTAAACAGCACTCGCATGACATACCCTTACAGTCCAGAGAGAGAAGCGGGAGACAGACTGACGCGTCCAGGGTGAAACATCCCGGTGAGTAAATACTGCTGCTCCGTGGAGTCTCACGACACTTTACACTCAAAGGAAAAGGTTTGTGTTGTTTGTAAAGACTACTTTATTGAAATGAACTGAAACAACACAATTCTTGAGATTTTTTTCAGGACAACTTTTTGCTGCTTTTTCAATCTACTTCAATTTGTTCACTTAGTTCATGTTGGACTAACATGAATGAATTGTGTGGAACCCTGAATATTTTTTTTATTTACAGTGTATAATACCTCATATTTTACCATTGATCAGTATATATGTATGTTTAAAATATGTAAGTATGTGCACTTACAAACATGTCTATGGATTTTCAATAATGTCTTAATGTGAACGTTTATTTAGTCTAAGAACTCTGCAATGCTATTTTGCACTACCCTCAAAAAAGTTTGTTTGCTGTTTGTTTAAACCACTTATTTAAAATGAGCTGAAACAACACAATTCGTGATTTATTTGGGATGACTTAATTATTTCTATACATTTTGGGTGTTAAAAAATAAATAAATAAACAGACCCGACTCTAGGGTTCATAAAAGTGAATTTTAATTGTCGAGTGTTTTATTTATGTTACATCCTTGACCCTAGACCAGGGTTGTAACACATGTTCAATCAACTTAAATGAATGAACTTAATCGATTTGTGTTGAATATTGTGCATTTTTATTTACAGTGTATAATACTTCATTTTACCACTGATCTGTAAATATGTAGGTTGTGCAAACTTAAAACAGTAACTTAAAAAACTTAAAAAACCATTTTCAATAGTCTTAATGTGCAAGTTTATTAAATCTATTAATTGCGTAATGTTATTTTGCACTCATATTTTTGCACTCTAGAAATTACTAGAATTGCTAGTAATTATCACAAAAATGAAGCAACAGTTAACACTGAATTAAAGACAGACTGACGCGTCCAGGGTGAAGCATCTGAATACTGCTGTGGAGTCTCGCGACACTTTACATACACACAAAAAAGATGCTTTTCCAAACTACTTATTTAAAATGAGCTGAAGATTTTTTTTTTCAGGACAACTTAATTGATTCATGTTCAACCCACTTTAATTTCGTTTTTATTTACAGTGTATAATACTTCATATTTTACCACCAATATGTAAAATATGTAGGTTGTGCATTTACAAACTTAAATAGCCTACACTGTAGCAGTCAACTTTATCAAATGAAATGAGTGTAGTTAACTCAATATTTACTGAAAGTTAATTCTACTTATTTGAAAAGAGTTTTGAACTCCGTGTTGAAGTTAATGAGTTAAATAAATACCTCTTTACTTCAGCTTAAATAGAGTAAGTTCACTGTACTTATATGGATTAGTTTTTTTAACTCAAATGGTTTGTTGCAATCGGTTGGAAGAATTGAGTTCTCTTCATTTACCGGGTTTTACTGTGCTCAAATTGCTTCTTTTACTCAAATGGGATAAGTTCACAGTACTCATTGGGATTAGATTTTGAATGTAAAGTGTTTGTTGCAATCGGTTTCCTCAAATGGTTTGTGTTATCTTAACTTATTGGGTTTTACAGTTTGCATTTTCAATAACGTCTTATTGTGCAAGTTTACTTAAACTAAGAACTGTGTAATGTTATTTCACACTATACTGTACAAATGCTGGGTTCCACATAATCCCTTCATGTTCATCCAACACAAATTAAGTTAACAATCGTTTTTATAAATTTAAGTGCCCCAAAAAACTTTTTAGAAAATTGTGTTGATTTAACTTATTTTAAATAAGTAGTTTGTACTAGCAGTAAAAGTCCCTTTTTGAATGTAGAAATGAGCGCAAACAACACAATTCTTGAGATTTTTGGGGGCTGACCTAATTATTTTGTTCAATCAACTAAACAAATTTAAGTGAACTTAATCGAATTGTGCATGAATTGTGTGTGTTTTTATTTACAGTGTATAACACTTTGTATAATAACACTAATCTGTAAATATGTAGGATGCATTTACAAACTTAAATAGGCTACACTGCAAAACCCAACAGTCAACTTTATCAAATAAAATGAGTGTAGTTAACTCAAAATTTACTAAAAAGTTAATTCTACTCATTTGAAAAGAGTTTTGATCCGTGTTGAAGGTAATGAGTTAAATAAATACCTCATTACTTCAACTTAAATAGAGTAAGTTCACAGTACTTATATAGATTAGTTTTTTCAACTCAACTGGTTTGTTGCAATCAGTTGGATAATTTGAGTTCTTTTTATCAGGTTTTACTGTGCTCAAATTGCTTCTTTTACTCAAATGGGTTAAGTTCACAGTACACATTGGGATTAGTTTTTAAATTTAAAGGGTTTGTTGCAATCAGTTTCCTCAAATGGTTTGAGTTATCTTAACGTATTGGGTTTTACAGTCTGCATTTTCAATAAAGTCTTATTGTGCAAGTTATATTTCGCACTATACTGTACAAATGCTGGGTTCCACATATACCCTTCAAGTTCATCCGACTCAAATTAAGTTAATTTAATTGCTTTTATAAATTTAAGTGCCCCGAAAAACTTTTAAAAATTATGTTGATTTAACTTATTTTAAATAAGTAGTTTGTACTAGCAGTAAAAAATATATATTTTTTTTTAATGTACAAATGAGCGGAAACAACACAATTCTTGAGATTTTTGGGGGCTGACCTAATTATTTTGTTCAATCAACTAAACAAATTTAAGTGACCTTAATCGAATTGTGCATGAATTGTGCGTGTTTTTATTTACAGTGTTTAATACTTGTATATTACCACTGATCTGTAAATATGTAGGATGTGCACTTACAAACATTTATGTTTGCTGTTTGTTTAAACTACTTATTTGAAATGAGCTAAAACAACACAATTCTTGATTTTTTAGGGATGACTTAATTATTTTATGTTCAATCAATTTTACAAATTTAGGTGAACTTAATCGATTTGTGTTGGGAAAACATTATAAAATTGTGTGCATTTTTTATTTTCAGTGTATAATACCACAGATCTGTAAATATGTCGATTGTGCACTTACAAACAAATAGTCTATGCATTTTCGATAATGTCTTAATGTGCATGTTTATTTAATCTAAGAATTTCATGTTTTTTCTACTTATATTTTTGCACACTAGAAATTGCTAAAATTGCTAGTAATTATCGCAAAATGAAGCAACAGTTAACACTGAATTATAAAAAATAAAGTACAAAGAGTGAAAGTATTCTTGAAAACTAATCTTTTTATTTTGTTGTGTATGTTTTATTTATGTTTGTTTGTGTTTTTTACTTTGTGTTTAAAATTGCAGATTTTATAGTTATAAAGCTATGAAAATTAAGAGGATGAATGAATTTACCGAATTTATTAGCTATGTTTTAAGTAAAATGTTAATATATAAAGGTGAGGACATTTCTTCCAATGTTTTCAAATTAAAATATTGAGTTTTCTGTTGTTTATAGAAAATGAAATTTATCAGAACAACAAAAGTTTTTATTTGTTGGAATAGATAAATTAGGATTATTTCACCAAATACTGATTTCCTAAGAGTTAAGGCTAAAACCTTGCTTATTATGAAGAAATTACACAATATAAACAAATTACAAACTACTCAAAGGTCTAAATATAAATTGTAAATCCAGAAAAACAAATCATTTGAACAAGTGACTGCTCTCTTCTTTTTATAGCTTTATAAATGCGTATATTTTATATACACATTTGTAGCTAAATGTTAAACACTGGTCATATTGAAGTTAATGTTTATTAAAGGTTTAACAACAATTTTTAAGCTTTTTTTTTAGACTTTTACCTTGTTGTAATCAACTTGTTTACTTGATAATCTTTTATACTTCATTCAAACTCTTTTTAAAACTCTTGTGTTATCATTCCACAGGTAACAGTTCCTGTTTCTGTCGTTATGGATTTGGCGCGCAACGCCACCGCGCTTTCATCGCCTCAGAACAGCAGAATCCCCTTATCCGGCGGAAGCGACAATAACGCATACCTGTACATCGTCATCGTGGTGTCCTTCTACGGAGTTTTCCTCATCGGGATCATGCTCGGTTATTTGCGCACCAAACGGCGCGAGAAAAGGCGCTCAAACGCGTTCACGAGGCTCCTGCACGAGGAGGAGCAGCGCGAGTGGGGCGCGCGCCAGAAAAAGCACAGTTTCAGCCTGCCTGCGTTTCCCGCGCTGCGCTCCACGCCGGTGCCTTTCATGTTGAGCAGCGGGCGCGCGCCTCTGGCATGCGCACTCTGCTCGGTGGAGCAAAGCAGCGTGAGCTCTCTCAGCTCCGGAGCGGATGTGCGTTTCGCCATAGAAGAAGAGTCAGACAGCGGCGGACATGAGGAGACACCAAAAACCGGCTCGGGATCGGAAAACAACAGCGCCGGGTCGTCAGTGGAAAACCGGCTCTGAGATTCCCGTTCCCGCCGCGAGACGTTATATCGCAACTGCAGTTCCCGCCTAAATGCAGTAATGGAGCCTTTTTCCATTTTCCATTATCACAGTTAATGTTATTACAAATTAAGCCATCTGAGGTTGGACTTAGGGACTGCTGTGATAAGAAATAAACAAAAAAGCATTTTGTACATGTTTTAAACACCTTCTTTTGTTAATTTATTGTGTAAATAACTAATAATTTGGCAGGAACTGTGATTAATTTGTTAGGAACCATGACTAAACAAACTAACAAAAGTTCTCCTGAGTGCCTTAGTGAAAAGTATGAACTCTTACGCCAGAAATATACTTTTACACAAGCGCTAACTGTAGTTCATACAGTTTTACACTGCAGTTTTTTTTCAGATCAGACCACAACAGTGTATCGTTCACAGAAATCAGTCTCTGAGGTTCCTGCCATGGCAATAGTTCCTACTGAAATGAAGAAAACGCCACAGTTAATCTTACTACAAATTAAACGTTCTGAGGTTGGTCCTAGTGACTGTTGTAATAAGAAATAAAAGTATTTTTGTACATCTTAACAACCTACTTGTGTAAATAACTCCAGTAATTTGTCGGGAATTGTGGTTACTGTTCATTTGTTAGGATCCATGGCGAAACAAACTAACAAAGTTCTCCTAAGTGCCTTGGTGGAAAGTATGAACTCTTATACCAGAAATATACTTTTACACAAGCACTAAGTGTAGTGTCTACACTGCAGTTTTTTTAGATCAGACCACAACAGTGATGGTTTATCTGCAGAAAAAATGGCTCTGAGGTTTCCTCCATGATACGTTACTATGGCAACCATAGTTCCTATTTACCACAGTTAATCCTACTACAAATTAAACATCTGTGGTTGGTCCTAGCGACTGTTGTAATAAGAAATAAACACGAGTGTTTTTATAGTTTTTTTTAAAGACCTACATGTGTAAATAACTGGTATTTTAGCAGGAACTGTGGGTACTGTTCATTTGTTAGGATTCATGGCGAAACAGCTCCTGAGTGCCTTGGTGAAAAGTATAAACTCTTAAACCAGAAACATTTACACAAACACTAAGTGTAGTACATAAAGTTCTGCGCTGTGCAGTTTTTTCAGATCAGAACACAATAGTGATGGGTTGTTTGCAGAAAAACGGTTCCCGCCGCCAGACATTACTATGGCAACCATAGTTCCTACCAAAATGCAGTTAGTACCACAGTTAATCTTACTACAAATTAAACGGTCTGTGGTTGGCCCTAGTGAATGTTGTAATATGAAATAAACAAAAGAGTGTTTTTATTAATTATTTTAAGGACCTACTTGGGTAAATAACTAGTAATTTGGCAGGAACTGTGGTTACTGTTTATTTGTTCTCCTGTTAATTCGTTAAAGTTCTACTGAGTGCCTTGGTAGAACATATGAACACTTATGCCAGAAATATACATTTACACAAGTGTACAAGCACTAACTGTAGTACTGTGCAGTTTTTTTGCCTTCACTTATGAAAATTTACCATGGTTTTGGCAAGTTGATTGATGTCTACATCCAAAGTTTTACTACAAATACGTTGGCTAAACAGGTTACTGTAGTGAAAACTATGGTTCATTTTTGGTTATTATTTAACTGTAAAATATGATTTTTTTTAATGAAAAACAATGGTTAAATTTCGTGTCCGCTTGTTTAGTCGTGACGCTTCGGTGACATATGGAATACTGTTTCTGCATCCAAGCGGCTCTTGGTTAAATTTAGAAAATATTTGTTTATGACCACTTTTTAGTCATATCAGTTTATAAAAAATTAATCACTTTCTGGCCATCGGATATTAGGCATGGATATATAGATAGATAGATAGATAGATAGATAGATAGATAGATAGATAGATAGATAGATAGATAGATAGATAGATAGATAGATAGATAGATAGATAGATAGTGATCATGATTTTCGTATTACATCGCTTTGTAAAAGTTTATTATTATCATTTGATGAGTCTCCCCATACAGTTTGATATAGTGTTTGGACCCAGAAGCCGCTTTATGTGACGTCACACTTAACAAGCGGATAGGTCATGGTGGCACAAATCTAAACTAACGGCTATTTTTGACACTTTAGTGGCTAATTGTACATTTATATAATAATTTAAGATTTTTTTAAATGATGTATGAACTTCCTTGCTTCTACATGAACATCCAGCCTGATCTCACGAGAAAACGTAAGTATTTTACGTGTTGCCAGTTTAGTGGCTAATTCGTATGAGTTCAGTCGTACGAAATAGTGCGATTTTAAAAAGGAGGCATGGCACCTAACCGTCATTGGGGGATGAGCAAATCGTACTAAATTGTATGAATAAGATTGTACGAATTAGCCACTAAGTCAAAAAGTTACGAATTGCCGTAAGATTGTGTTGGAACATCACAAATAAATTCGAACAGATTAGCCACCAATTCGTCAAAACAAAAAGTTAGCAACTTATTGCTCATGTTGAGAAAAATACTAAGTACTAGCTACAGGTTCAGATGATTATCTTCAAACTGTAGTTGGTCTAAAAACTAAAACTAGAAAACCGTTGGTATCCTATAGCTCCCCCTGTGGCAACTCTCAATGTGGCACATACTTGTGATACGCTTTAGATTTGTTACATCTGGTAATGCAATGATGCACAGAATTTCTTCAAGTACTTGTGTAAACTATATTTCAGGCCTTAAATGCAATGTTCCCACTGCAGACATGGCGATAAACCTGGAAGTCACTTGAAAAATATTACTTTTTTTTACTTAAGGCCATAACATCATCCACTTAGGCGTGTAAAATGATGTAAATGTATGTAAAGTTATCTGTATATAATGGTCTATGTGCATGGGTATGTCTATTTAAGTTCTACCTTGTTTTTATATGTTACTTTGTGCAAGCTAAATAAAAATGCTCCTCCATAATGTGAAGGTTTTGTGCTCATGTTTGCATTTACTGATTGTCGCCACCTGGGGGAGATGAAGACTATACCGTTGAATCTTCATAGATGAGGATTTTTCATGTTTTATAGACCCAGGTAACTAATATGAATCTTGTAGATACTATAATATAAACAAACAACATTTAATAACTTTAAAAAGGATATAAGCATTCACAAATTAAATACTGTTTAGCACATATTCATAAAGTTGGTCAAAATTACTGGCCCTCTGGTAAAATTTTAATGTTAATATTTTAATTTTATAAGTAATAACTGTGTTTTGTTTTTTTGTTTTTTGCTGTCATGATGACAATACTTAATGAGCTTATCAGCAAATCAGCTTAACATTTAAAGGCTTAACTGGGTTAATTAGGTATGCAAGTTAAAGTAAATTGCAGTTGTGGGCTAATAATAATGACCTTATTTTTTATTATTACTTTTTTATACTGCTTTTATTGTATTAAAACTAACAAAAAAAAGTTCATAATAGTCCAAAAGGCGATGATAATAGTTAAACATGGCAGTTTTGTTTTAGGTTGCTGACGCATCATTTGCTGCTGTTTTTTCTGGCTTCTCCTTTTTCTTTTTTTTTTTTTTGCGCTTCACTCTCACGTTTGTCCCTTTCTGACAGAATCGGCTATCAAAGCGATTCAATGATCACAAGCAGGTTATTAATATGAGCTCAAGTAGTTTGTTATTTCAAATATAGACGAGATCGCGAGCTCTCCGAGAGGGGTCTGGATGCAGACCTGGTGCAGTGCAATCTGAGCTCCATCAAATGTTTTTTAATGCGCTCATCTAACCCCACCCCTAACCCTACCCGTCACAGTGACATCACTCACTCCACTGAGTGCATTGTTGTGTCTGACATTGCATTGCTAAATCTCAGCTTGCATCATAACGGCTGAATCCAGATACTATTGATCTCTCTGGACGAAGTGAAACAGCTAACACTTTTAGACGCGCTCGTAAAACAACAACAGCACACGGCAGATTTTTTTCTTCTTGGCTTTGTGGCTGTACATTAAGACGACGACAAGGTTTGCTTGAGCTCGACCATGACTTATTATATGTATATAATATTACGGCGTAACCTCTCAGCTGTGTATTTAAAACTGCGGTTCTTTTGTTTTCATTCTGGCTTGGTGCTTGAGCAAGTGACGTATCTCTGTAAGCCAATAGTGTTCAGCTGCACGTCTAGCTCCGCCTTTTGGTAACCTTATGGCCTGTTTCCACTGAGTGGTACGGTTCAGTTTGGTACGATTTTAAGGCCGTTTCCACTGTCAATAAGCGTACTGAACCAAACCGTACCCTTTCGAAAGGGTACCAAAAACGAGAAAGGGTACAAAAAGCTACACCTATCAGTGTTCGGCAGCACGTCTATGTTTATAACGGAGATGGCCTGTCTTCTATTAAACCTTGGTCCCACATTCATTTCAAAGCAGCACTACCCTGTACTAAATTGGCGGCTCTATTGGCACATTCCTTCAAATAGACAACAATAGGCTTTATCTAATGTAAATATTCATGATTGGATGTATTGGAGCAAAGTCCTTACTTCATTAAACTTTACTTATAATTTAGCCTGTAACTGTATATAATATGGGACTCAACCCCTTTTCATATAGCCTATATAAACGCAGTCATTCTGAATCTATGTGCACATAAAAAAAAAAAAAAACATTATGCGAGGCCTCCTGGCGTCATCGTAGAGATAAATATCTTTCAAGCATCCACTCCTGAAATAATCCCTCACTCTGTTATTCCCCTCGAGAATGGGCTGATGTTCACTCGGGGACAGAAGAGGCTGTGCTGCAGTCATGATTGTGTGCTTTTGCAGAGATGTGCGCGATTACAGGCGAAAATCCTTCATCACAATCATCATCATCACAGTCTTGTCCTAATGAAATCACATCACATGCATCGGTGTCACTGACCCGCTTTCCGCCCCAGGGATTGCAGTGGAAAGTTCTCGTCTGAGTGGATCCTTTCCAATCCAAATTTCCTCAGTTCATCTGATGTGAGCTGGACAGGCTGATAGGAAAG